CGTGTACACCCTAAACCTGATCGTCAATTTTTAATTGTGATCGCCTGTGTTAAAATGTATATTTCTCTTTAATCCTACTTTAACAAGCTTGATATTATCTAAAAGTGGATATATTTCAATTCAACCGATAGAAAAAAAAACTAATACACTAAAACTGGTATATTCAATTTCTACGTCGCATTTCATCCCTGACAATAGGGTTGTTGTTGACTCTCAGCCAGTAGAAACCCAAGATTCAGTTTTGCATTAAGTTATAAGACCAATAGAAAATTATTATATTTTTGAAAACATAAACATGTTATGTCCTACATAATCGTTGGTGCAACTGCTGATTTGACAGCTGTACACAAAGTAGTAAAATCTCTTTATTGAAGAAGCTGTTCGTTCATAGAGTGATGCATTTCAGCGTATTAGTGGAAAGTTGAGGGGAAGCAAAAAAATAAAAAAAGTGCACAAGAAACACGGAAAACTGCATCCTAGGAAAGATTATGAAGTAATGCCCATTCGAGATTTTTCCTTTAAGAGTATTTCCTGTTTCTCAAATTTCAGGAAATACTTATATTTAAGAGTATTTCTTTGATGTACTTTAACATGCATTTGCATCCAGGAAATATACCACTGGGTCAACAGAGAACAAATGTATACATTTACATTTGTCCAATGTGATTATGAAATGTTATACATAAACACACTATATATATGGTTTAGTTTATAAGATATAATCATCTGCAGAACACGTTTCAGCAATAAGGTAGATCAAAGTGTTACATGCTTACAATAAAAAAAAACATTACATTAAAGTGGTATAATGAATGAATGTAAAGAGCAGATGGAACAGACTAATGATGATATTTTACTTAAAATAAAGGAAACTCAACATATGTTTTTAGCCTTGATTTAAAAGAACTCAGGGTTTCAGCATTTTTGCAGTTTTCTGGTAGTTTTTCCCCAGACAGCCTTTGAGATATTAAACTTTTGCCTTAGTAAAAATGTCAATATAAATTTTTTGGTGGAAAAAGACCCTTCTTTGCCTTACAAAAGTAATCATTCCCTTAGTCCACATGGTCGCACACGATTTTATTTAAGGGTAACAAACTAAAGGGACTAAATACAAAAGCGTTCCTGTGTAAATTTTTTTATTTGAAATAAAAACTTTTAACTATATATATTCTTTTACATAAAATTCAAATAAAATATATTGATGTTTGACAAAAAAAAAAGGGCCTAGTACAAGTGTGCTTTTACTAGAATATTGCTATTGTAATTTCATTCCTGAAGAACAAGCTCACACGTTCTCTTGAGTCAGAGAAGCCATTATTCAGTCCGGTTCTTGCACAGCTTCTGATGACAAAACTCAAATTTACTTGCACAACCAAACCAGTGATTTCTTCACATCATAAAGTCATCATTAATCTGCTCAATCTCCACAGTCAAAAGAAAAACACTAAAGGTCAATTAGGAAAGACCATGAGTCATGTCAACCAGGAAATGGAAGCTAGATTTGCACCATTTTGTATTTAATATTTTGAAGTGTTAATAGAAAACAGTTGAAAATGTCACAGCCCGGCTTTCACAGCAGCCGTGTGACTGAGTTTAATATGACACCAATCAGAACATGGTCTGAAATGATAAAGGCATGCCTAGTATGTCTATATTTAAAGCCAAAGGAGTTTCAGCTAGGGCAAATCAAAGGCTAAGGTTTCTGCAGTGTTGTTTGTCTGTAGCAACCAGTAAGTGTCGCCAGAAAAAGATGAGGATTGAACGGTGTCAAACCAAATGCTGCCAACATAAAAGGAATTTTGGTGCAATTGGTGAGTAATAGTACAACAACAACAAAAAAAACCTCCAACACAGATAGCAACTTGTTCTAGTTTTGTATTTGAAAAGTTGCTAAAAGGTAACACAATTTACAATACAAAAAATAGGTTTAGAGTACTGAAATGTACAGTTGTTTAAATCCTGAGTGAGTGCCATTGTGTGAATTTTTATTTGTATTTCTGCTTTGGCCTTTGGTACCAATCAGGAGCTTCTTTTTTGGTCTGCAAACAAAACAGAGAGAAGACATTTATAAAAACCTTATTGATTTTCGTCTGAGTCAACAACCGATGAACCAATTAGACTTTTCATGGCTAACACCAACTTCTGTTTTTCATTGAGGTCTGACATGGCCGTTCCAATTTTTTCCTAAATTGGAAAAAAAGTACTGTAGGTTCCTTGATAGAAAAGGTTGTTTTGAATCCGAAAGAAAATGAAGGAATTACGAGATAATTCCTATTTATTGGCTAACAAGTGTAAACACCCTCGTTAAAATGCAACCTTTTCTCCAGTCCCACACAAATAATGTGGCACATATCCCTGTGCAATTTAGATTTAAAAACCACAGCTAATAACTTACAGAAATAAACAGCAGGGAGAAGACTGGAGGAGCTGCAAGGATTTCTAATGAAATGAGTCTTCGGTTTTTTCTACATGACTCAACAATCTCCTGCGTTCTTCAAATGTCTTGACTAGCAAGTAGGTTTGAAAGAATGAATTATATTCTGGGATTATGAATTAAAAAACATCTAAGCTTTGCTAAAATCTCCTAAAGCCTTGTGGGACAATGTGACGAAACCAAACTTAAAACCGAACAACAACAACAACAAACTTAGAACTTATTTACAAATAAGTCTTTCACCACAGGGGAACATGGCGGTGCTGGTTTTCCTCCGATCAAACCGGGGGTTCGTCGTCAAGGTAGTTGAAGATATAAATAACTAACACTGGTCATTTTTTTTTTTTGCCCCAGACCTTCAGACGAAGGACTGAATGTTTGAGCCAGAATCCAGAACTACGTTTGACAATGTCCACGGTCCGAGTAGCTGAACAGTTGGATGGATCAAATGGTGATTTAGCAGAATCATTTTAAGGGTGTGCACACTTGCACAACTGGTTTATTGCATCTTCCAGCTTTGGCTTGTTCTTTAAACAGATCATTTGAGAACTAGTTTTCACTCCTAAACTTTATCTGGCTTTTTATTAAACTCCTAAAAGTGCATCAAAGTGCATGCTGTTGGGTGACGTGTTTATACGTCAAAGTTGTTAGATTTTATGCATTTATCGCATAAAATAAATGCGATAAATGCATTTTTACTGTTTAACCTTCCGATCATTGCTCAGAGTCTATATTTGGACTATTAGTGGTTTCGGATCACTTCTGGGACTTGCTCCAGAGCTCTTCTCTACTCGGATGGACTTCGCTAAAGAGCTTAAATGAAACTAACCAGGACCGGTCTTGGCCAGGATTCTCTTGTATAAAGAGATGTTTAATCCGAAAGGGATTATTTTATTTTTTTTCCTGGTGAAATAAAAAGGTTAATAACAATAACGACAGGAAAGCTATTAATTATTTCATGTCAGACTCGAGTGTTCTTTTGTCTCAGCTTTTGTCCTCGCTGGTTAGATTGGTGTGACTCATTAAAGGGTGTGACCAACGCTTACAAAAACAGTAGGTTTGGGCTTGTCTGACGATTCCTCATCGTCGGTCCCGCTGACACGTTTGGACTTCTGCTTTGCTGTTCCAGAGGCCCTCGTAGCGCCGTTACCGGCTCCAAACAGGTCTGGGTCCACTCTCAGCCCGGACCGCAAGCCGATCAGGGCCTGCTTCATTATTGCCAACTCCTGGAGAGTCGCGGACGTTATGCAAAAAAAAAATAAAAATAATAATTATCGGTGTAGATAATTATCACTTGATCAATAAACAGATAAGTATGAGAAACTCTTTTATATTATAAATCTTAATCTTCTCCTTTGTCATATTTACCTAAAAATCAGCGTCGTTACGAATCTGATAACACATGGCTTATAAAGCAGTTCAGCGAGCTTAAAGGGTCTGCAGAGGTGCTACCAGCAGGACAGAGGGGGGGGGGGGTAATTTCACGGTTCTATTTATCACATCTGAGGACATGAGCCTCGGCATGTCACATACATGCATAAACGCATACACACACACGCACACACACACATCATGGTGGCATCCCAAACAGCCGAGCTGAGGAACAGCTGTCTATGACGGTGCACATACTTTGTAAAGCAAACGGCTGGATTGGAGACACACTCCGATGTGTACACATACACACGCAGTCTGACAGGATGGACTGCAACACACAGTGTGATAAAAAGAAAAATTAGTCAAGCTTATCAATTAGCTGATAAAATGAAACTTGATAATATCTAACTACTTGGTCAATTATTAATGTCTTTTTCACACAAATTGTTGTTTAAATGTGAGTCGTTCTTTCTGTTAAAAAAAATAGTTTAGTGAAGTCGCTTTTACAATGTATGCGCAAAATGTATGATATATTTTTTAAAAAAAAATTTTTTTATGTTGTTTTAGAAAAAAGGTCAAAGGTCTGGTCAAGTTTGCTACAAGACAGGAATCCAAAACATCCAAACTGGTTTTGAAAAAGATAAAAATAGGTTAACTTGAAACACCTGTGATAACCTTTATGAAACACAACCTAAAGTTTTAGAATTGTGCTTGAAAGCTGTGAATTTGGTATAAAATCGAACCAGTGTGTGAATGAACTATGTCAGTTCTGTCAATGAGAACGAATAACCATAACAGAAAGATTGTTCATCAAGAAGAGCATGTGGCTGAGCTTTACAAGAAATTGAACAAAATATTGGTGGAGGCGTATAACCTGTAAAAATATTATTAATAATAATTTTTTTTAAAATCGCAAAACACAGACATCTAATACAGTTAGCCTGGCATAGCTTGCATACATTCAGTTACTAAACATGTCCATGAAAGAATGCTATTTAGTTGTGTTGGTGGATGAAATTTCTATTTTTATAACTTTTATGTGACTTTCTCACATTTAGATGATGACACAAATAAATTTCTCCTGGAGTGTTGAACGTTTACCTCAAGCAAAACAAGAAACAGTAGATTGAAGAGTAGAAATATTTCACCACGATTAACCAATGTATTATGTATTTCAGACCGAAGGATATGATTTAAATGCTATCTAAAGAGTTATTATTCTGACTATAATTTGATTGAATGAAGCAATTATGAACAAATTTACTGCATAGCAGATATAAATCAGGGCAGTTAGGAGTACAGAGCGACAGCACTACTTTCTTCCTCTAATGCAGAAACTCACTCATTCATTCACTCCTGTTACACATTTATTCTGACGATTAAAGGACTTAATTTTTTTAATGTGTTCATGTACGCTCACAGGATCTTTGTCCTCGAAATTGACAGCTGAAGCGGAGGGTTGTTGAATATGTGACAGATATGAATCTGTCTGTGTATATAACCACCGAACTTTACTGTTCCTACCAAACTTTTGGTGTATTTTCAACAGAACAAACCGGGAATCAAACAAAAAAACACATTCGCTGTGGTAGCAAAGCAGGCTTTGGCCTTGAGTAGCAAAATTTTCCCAGAAATGGTAAGGATGAGTATTTCCACTATCCAGCTGAAAACACAAAATAAAAATTGCTTTTGACTTCTCTTTCAAAACTCATCAAAAATATCACTATGATCATTGGCACTGTACCTACCTCTTTATTGTTGAGAAGTCGCTCCAGGTCGGCTGCCATGTCATTCTTCACTTGCTGCAAAGCATTTCGCTCTTTCCTCAAAGAACTGCAGGCGGAGAACATTAACAAATCAGATCAAATAGAAAATGATTTCTGTAATAGCACACGGTTTTCTGAAGCACCTCTTGTAAAATGGTTATATTTGCTGTAGATATTTGTAGTTTTGATTAAACTGCACTTCAGTTGTCTTCAGTGTCAGCAAGGATTAGGCTCAACATACTCATAAAGGCATACAGAATTAAAAACCAAAAAAAACAAACAAAAAACAAAAACATATTTTCCTGCTCTGTTTTAGCCTGAAGGGAAAACAAAACCAAGAACATAAAACGAGTGTTAAAAACAGGTGTTTGTTTGCTTTATCACCAGCTAATTATCAGAGTAAGTCACGAATTTCAAAAAAATTACAACCAACATATTACTGCGCTGTTAACATTTTCCATCTAGGTCTGTAAAACAAGCTGGAACTTGTGGCGGTGCACTTTGAAAGCAAATCAATCTTAAAGCAACAGTCTGATCACCGTTCAAAGGAATCTGCAGGGGGCGGGGGGATTTAAACTCGTTCTATCAAAGAGACCCAAACATGAAATGACAATCTCCTGAGAGCTCTGTCTCTGTTTGCAACAGATAGTCCCGCACAGCCACAGGGAGACTTCAGCTTCCCTGACAGATGCAAGGAGGATCGAGAAGCTTGACGGCGTTTAAAAAAAGGATTTTTTTTTTTTTTTTGCCCCATACTCCTGCTTGCCCCAGGTGAGCGCACAGTGGTAGCGATCAGCAAGCGAAAACCTGCAGTCTGTCAGCTTGCATACTTGTCAAGCAGCACAAAAAAACAGTGGGCAACAGCAGGAATATAGGTCAATACCAAGCAGGTGCATGTGTGTGAGACAGTAAAATGGGCTCTATCAGATAGAGAGAGAGACAAAAGATGAGAGACGAAGATAAAGCAGAAGACGCCCAGGAAACGGGGGGAGATACGGCAGATGAAGAACAGGTTACAGAAAGAATGCAAACTTCCACCGAAAGACGCAGGCATACGTCCGTACGTGCGTTGAGGAGGAAGACGCACCTGACGTCGTCCTCGAGAGAGGAGACGCGCTCCCTCAGCGCCCTGATCGCCGCATCCTTTTCTCTCACCGTGTCGATCAGGAAGCTGTAAGGCTGCTGAGTCTGCTGCAGCAGCTGGTTGGCCGCGGACAGCTGGGGTTGAAAACACAAGTGACAGAGCAGTCATTTTATTTTTGTACATTTCTTCTTACAGGGTCTGACTTTGACACGGCATAATAAAACCTTGTCCGCGTTTTGTTGAATAGAACTTTATGCGCTGGTGCAACAACAAAACGGTGCATATTTTCAAAGCGGAAGGGAAAGTGCTTTTCTTTTTTGGTTGATTTTTACACAGTATTTAAAGCTGTTTTTTTTTCTCCAAATCTGATATTCTCAAATAAAATCCAGTTTGACCTAATTGAATAATTTTCCTTTGTAACGTATCATTCATGTCAGCAGGCGTGATGAAAAGTGTTTCTCCCTCTCCCCCCTCCCCCCGTCATATCTGGGTTGCATTTTCAACTAAAAGCATCCGCAGTGTCTCATAGTCACTATCGTACTTAAAATCAACAAACAAAGTTAGGCTGTTACACATTAAGCCATTTTTATTGCAAGTCAGTAGTGAATACCGGCTAGGTGGAGGAGTGAGAACAATAGCGAGTTAGTCAGGGCATCTGTGTGGGTGGCTAAGAGGGTAACACCCTTGCTCTTTTCAAGTGAAAAGGAAATGTCATTTTTCACTCTTTTCTTTTATACTCGATGAATCATCATGTATTCCAGACGGGTACCAGTCAATCTCGGCTGACAGCTGAAAGCCGGGTCTATTTAGACTCCAATCTGGCCGGCCACTCCACTCCGACTTTGCACAAGCTTTCCTCAGATTAACTAAGCAGCAGCAGCGAGTGAAAAAAAAAAAAAAAAGTGAGCACACCGGCAGCTCGTAGCCTCAACCCTCAACGGATGACTTTGAGACATTGGTGCACGAGTGGCGGCCACGTGACCGCCAAGTTTGACGCGCAAATCCAAGACTGAAGCCGTATTGTTGGTGTATGCACATGAACGCACACGAGTTGCCAAAGACAACAAAGGGTCGGTGATCGGTGCAAAGAGTTTGTTTGGAGAGTGAAGAGCGACGCTGTCATGGATTTTGACTCCATTTTCCATTCATCGTGTCAACAAGTGTGACAGGTACAGAGACTGGGCTCATGCAAACTCTATTGTCGGTTCTTGAACAACTTGTCATTTTCCTGGCTTCGTTTTAGAAGTTGGAAAAAAACAAAAAAAACAACAAAAAAGAAAAAACAAAAATGGCTTTAAAGACTCTTACTGATAAGTCATGTGGTGAGTGATGATATCTAGTAAAAGTTGTGCGTGTAACAGGACGAATAAAAATATGCAATTAATTTTGTTTCTGTCTTCAACGGATGATGATTAAATTTGCCACTTTTGATGTTATTCCTGTGATACTGGTAAACTTCCCAGAATTCCTTTGAGGTTTCACGTTGTCTCAGGTGTTTCTGTCTATTTATGTAATGCTGGACTGACGCAATGTTGTCATAACTGCAGCTCAGTGGCTGAAATAACATCTGCTACACAGTCTGATGGTCTCCTATCCACCCAGGATATTTGGTGTGACAGTACAACTACAAATATTGAACTTTTTCCAGACTGTTCAAAAGATTTTACGACGTACTTGTACTCTAAAGGCACCTTGTTGCCTGTATTTGTTTTAAAAGAGTAAAACTCTGTTTTGCAGCAATTGTACTCGCACACAGTGTGGCGTCACCTCTGCGCTCAATACGAATAATTAATGAGAAATAAAAAGAAAACATTTAATGTTGTTCTTGCATCTTTTCATATTTTAGTTTCAATCAGAGTCCAGCTTTTCGCGGACTTTGATCGGTAAAGAAATGCTAGAAGATGCCACGTGTTAGCATCTTATCAAGGAGCAAAGTCAAACTAAACTTCAAGATGCAAATTCTGAATTTCCTTTGACTCTTGACTTATTTGTGGTTGCAAATCAAACTGACGCTGATAGCTGTGAAGCAACCAGAGTCTGCATTACTGTGGGAGAGTCGTGGTGGTGAGAAAACAAGCGTGTTGGCATGTATGTGCTTGATTCTATTTGCTAAAAACATTAATAATACATTAGATCTATTCCAACGAAGATGTTCCCCAGGCACACACACACACACACACACACACACACCTGTGGATGCAGTGTGTGTTTCTCTGTGTGAGTGTACCTCCTGAGACATCTGTCCCGTCTGGTTCTGGTGTCTGTCCAGGTCCCTCCTCAGTAAGGTGTTCTGCCTCTCGAGTTGCAGCACCCGGCGAGCCAGATGAACGCTGCGTAACAGAGGAACACGCACACACAGGCACAGCTACAGAATTTACAACATTAACAAGATCACACTCGTCTTCATTTGCATGTCACTGAAAATCAAAGTTCCAGGATTTTCTAGAACTGACGCACACTGTTGAAATACACTGGAACTCAAACAATTAAAGGAAGTTTATCCTGAAAAGAAGCCAAATGTTCCTCTGAGAGAGTTACTGGGATTGAAAGTGGTGTTTTAAAGGATGCTTCAAAGTTTCAACCTAATTGAACAGGTTTCCGTTTAACTCCACTAGGTTTTAATTAAAACATAGCTGGCATTAATAGTGCTACTGCACAGAGGGGAGATGCTGACCAATAACAGAAATTAAGATGAATATAAGTCAAAATGACCGACTCAAGTTTTAAACACATTTTATGAAGTTTTCTTTTTTATGTTGTGCAAACAGAGGCCATCGATTTGGTAAGAGAACAATGATTGAGACGTGTAGTGTCTTGTACTTTACCTTTGCTTCAGTCTTCTTTTGGCCGTTGTGGGAACATTTGCGCCGTATCCGTATGAGAACAGAACTCTCTCTGCCTCCTCCTCATTCTCAACTGGTAAGATGCAAATACAGTTTGTAAACATCTCCAAATACCAGCATAACGTACGTGTCGTCGTTCTGTGCAGGTAAAAGTACATCTTAGTAAATCATATGCGTATATATGAGGGTCGTTTGTCAAATTAGGTTCTTGGCGCACAGCGTAGCCTGCCATGAATGCGCAGGCCAGTTAGCATAGCCACCGATGACGGTGGAAAAAATTGTTTTGCCACCATTAGCACAGTTACAGCACATACACGAGCAGGATTGACGGCACTAAGACTCTCCTCCTGGCTCTGATTGGTTGTTTTTAAGCGAGAGTCACATTTCTGCACATGGAAATAGAAGCACTGGGAGAAGGTGGAGGAACTCAAATAATTCACCGATTATGTTGGCACAACATATGGTCAGTTTTAACAAATTCGTTAAAAAAAAAACATGTTTCTGTCAAAGTTACATACTGCAGCTTTAAACATCTCATAGATAAAGTTCCCTTGTATTTGCCTTTAAAACTCTTTTAGCCAAGCATGCACACATGCTAGAACTCCCTGACATACTAGCTAGCTAGCTTATGGATCTTTTGATTCACATCAGAGTACATAAATAGTAATTACCAAATGCTTTCTTTTTCAAATAAAAAAACTCCTGAGGTTGGAAGTTGTTAGGATAGCCTGTATGGGATGAATTTAGCTCCTTGTTTTCTCCCTGATTACTCATTTTTATTCAAAACACCTGATCCAATGTGACATGATGTTTATTAGCTTTACCAGTTTCAGATTAAGACAGATATTCTGGTACATGCTCCATACTTACCCCTAGTGGGTTCTTGCAAAACATTTAACAAGATTTGGCAACCCTTCTCAGAATATTTAAGGCAAAATAATTATCTATTCAGAAAGTGATGAGATGCCCCCCCTCCCCCCAGGTCAGTTCCATATTTCAAGCTCTGCATAGATCATCAGAAGCTGCTCTGTCAGCTCTTTAAGCTTTTATGGATGTTTTTAGTAGCTTTGAGAGAAAAATCATCACAACAAACAGAAATAAAGGCCTTGAAACATCAGCCTGGGTGTAATTATTCTACATGATGTGTCATAATTATAAATCATAAATGAACAAACAACATTCTAGTTTATTGAGTTGCACCTGTATTTGCAAACGAGTTCAAAGGAAACTGGAATCAATTACTATATTTATTTTGACGATCTTTTCTCATTGATCCCCACAAACTGCCACATTCTCTGCTGCTGAACTTGAATGTTCCTTTTTGTTGTCTTACTTCCTGCCTGAGCAACGCCAGAGCTGTGAGCTTACTTTCAGCCGCCTGCATGGTGACCTGGTCCAACTCTTGCTCCAGTTTCTCGTACGTCTCCAGCCGGGACGCCTGCTCTGCATTCTGGGCTTGAAGCTCCGCCACCCGCTTCTCGGACGACGTTTGGAGCCTGTAAAACTCCTGAGTCAATAACTGAGGGAAAGAAATATAAAGAGCAAGAACAAACTATTTATTTGCACCATTTTGTGCAACTGAAATCAAAATCAAAACGTGACGAAGCAAATGAAACATTTACTTGGATAAAGCTCTTCTCGTGGCAGATATGAAGCAGTTAAAGCGACAGGTGCCGTGTCAAAAGACCAACAACAATCAGTGTTGCTGCATTTGAATTACATTTTAAAATGTGATCTTTCACATTTTTTAATTGTAAAAGAAGTACACACCACCTTTATCATCAGCGTAGCATGTCTACCCGTAAAACCAGCACGAACAGCATGTCGTAACAATACATATTTTATTCTGAAAAGTATCCCAGCCCCAACAAAGGCTTCATCGCGATAGACTAAAACGCCTGCGGGTCGGAGCAGTCGGATGTTGAAATACAACTGCAAGCTCAGATGCTGTTGAACAGTTCTTCAGAAAGAAAACCGGTGCCTCAGCAGGAAGTTCCCACTTCAAAATTAATACTTTGCAAAAGTTTGGTTATGTAACACGTCTGCGCATTAGACGGTCTTAATTTATGTCACAATCAATCAATCAATCAAGTTTATTTGTGTAGCACATTTCAGCAACAACAACTCAGTTCAAAGTGCTTGACATCATAAAGACACAAAAACACAAAGTCAAAGAAGACAGCACACAGTCAAACAATTGAGAAAACCAGTAAACATTACATTTTGGCAAGTGCCAACATTACACATCAAAATGTTTCATTTATTATGGTTGAAAAGCAAATCTAAACAGGCGGGGCTTTAGTCTGGATTGAAAGAAACTCAGTGTTTCGGTTCTTCTGCTGTTTTCTGGAAGTTTGTTCCAGATTTGTGGTGCATAGAAGCTGAAAGCAGCTTCCCCATTTTTGGTTCTGCTTCTCAGGTCATAAATTATTGCAACCCCCCCCCCCCAAAAGAAAAAAACATAGGGGATCATTCTAATATGACTCTGTTGCTATTGAATAATAGAAATTTGTGTATGTCTGAAAAAGAGGATTTTGTCCAAATAATAAAAACTAAGCCAAACGTCATCTAACAATTTCATTTTAATGCTGTGGCCTTAGAGGAGATCACATACGTGTCTGACAAGAAAACTGAGATGTGATGCCAAATCACTCTTTTTTTTTTTTTTTTTTGAGTCTGAGTACCTCAAGCTTCTTCTGCTGTTTCTCACACTCCACCTGGCACTGAGCTAGCGCCTTCGCCGTCTCCTCCTTGAGCAAGTGAGCGCGCTCGGCTTCGAAGGAGTGCAGCTTGGCCTGGCTGGACAGCTCCGCCACCCGGCTGTCAGTGCCCAGCTGGAGCTGACGAAACCTGCGGAATAAGAGCAGTGAGCGAACGCATGCAACCACACGCCCCGATAAATAACTGCGAGCACGTGGACTGAACAAAAAAAAAAAAACACAAAAAAAACCCTGAGATCACGGGCTTTTGTGCAGACAGATTAAGGGGATCCGTGGAAACAAAACGCTGTAGGTGTTTTACAGGAGCGTTTAACACAAAAGCCAACCTCGGCTTTAAGCTGAGTGGTTGAGCAGGCATATCGAGTGATTAAATAAATGAACATCCAGGTCACATGGCATGCTGTCTTACATCTCCATGTTTGGAAATCGACAAAAAATTAATAAAAAATAGGTTGGTTGGTATGCCTTGAGCGATAAACAGTTCATGGGAAGCACTGAAGTGGCATCCACGTTTGGCAGTAAAACATATTACATTAGATAACCTCTCGCAGGTAAGCCAAGCAGTGAATCATTCCCCCATGTCCGCTTAAGGCGCATTTTAATCTCGTTTGATCTTCGGTGCTTCTGCCTGGCATCAACACGGTGTTTTTTTTTTTTTTTTTTGCTCTTTAACAATTTATTGAAACAAAGAAAAGGAGACAGGATGTCTCCTTAGACAGGATGTCTCCTTACAGATTTATTTCTTCTATTTTTTTAAAGAAACATTAAAGAAGAAACATAAGTACAAAAGACAGTTTTCTAATGAGAAACTCATCAAGTAAGGATTAAAAAAAAAAAAAAAAAACTATCCACACCAATCTGCAAGAGAACATAACTAAACCACTCTTGTTGAGTCATGAACGCTGACCTTAGCTGAAGCATTTTAGGAATGAAGTGCCCTACGTGTTGTTCTGGGTTCTTTTGTGAACCCCTGATGAGTCACTGATGCTTGCGGAGTAATTCTGATTGGATGGCTGCTCCGTAATTTCTCCATCGCTGAGGGGAAATATGTGGCTTAGAGGAAAGCCTGAAAACGGCTTTGTGACCCGTTTTGGACCGTTACATGTCAATTCAATTGTTTCTTGCGTGTTCTTGAATTTCCATAAATCATCTTTTTTTTTTTTTTTTTTTTTTTTTTTTTTGGTCAATTAGAGTCATCGGGCCGGATTAATTCGCGACTTTCTAGATTTTACAGGTCAGGCAGTCACAAGGCCCCAGGTGTTGGCCAATGAGTTCGATCTCAGGTCAACTCTGGTACAACCGGACAATTATGGTGAGGTGGCAAACACTTTTCTCAAGGGTGTGGCTGGGTTTGAGTAACTCTTTCACTTAAATAATGAAATATTTATTAGAAAACTGGTTTTTAATTTTACCTGGCTTATTTCTGTCATTCAAATTTGTTTCACAAACTGAAACAAAAAAAAAAAGAGAAAAAACCAAAGAAACATTTTCACTAAAAAAGGATGAGTCATTTATTTGTTGTTTTTTTTGATGAGCAGACATTTCATGTTCATATTTTCCCCCAAAATTGTTTTTTTATTTTATTTTATTATCTTTAACTGAGAATATGTTGCTTTATTTATTTACACAAAATCGACTTTTATCTTAGGCGTCAAACAGCTTAAAACTCTTTACTTTCTCCGGTTGGAAACGCTCCTCAAGCCGCGCTCAAGCACGGGGGCACAGGCTCCATCGGGCCATGGTGGACGGCTGGATAATATTAATAACTCTCGATTACAGCTGACCTGATGAGATTTCATCACCCACGGAGGGCAGGCTCGAGCTGTGCGCTCACACGGACGGACAAGTACACATGGTTGAAATTTTATGCCTTCTTTTATAAATGGCAGCTGCCATCTCTGAGCAAAGAAGCTCCACTTCCCAATTGTGGAGAAAAAAAAAAGAAAAAAAAAAAAAAGATTTTTTTCTAAGACACAATGTTGACTTCCTGTCATTTTAAAGATAAAAAAAATGATACATGCAGCAATATTGATTTGGTGAAAGTAACTGTTTAGCTTCTTTTAAGGGCGAAAGTGAAAACTGAACAAATGTGGGTATTTATTTGTTTAAGGGAAAGTAGGCGGTGCGTTATCCTGTGTAAGGAGGCCCAGCACGGACATCTGAGCTTGCACTCGGTGTCTGACGCCTTTTCAAGCTCGTCCTGCTCATTCTTCGCCCCAAAAATAGTGGCATGCGTCGGGTTAGGGGTTAAGGGCTTGAGGCTAGCATCTGTCACTGCTGGCATGCGATGCGACGCAGAGAAAGAATGTGAGCGCAGCAGAGAGGGAGCAAGAGGGAGAGCAAAGTTTATGTGTGTTTGAGTGCATGGAAACACCAACAGCTGGTGGTTTGGATTCGGACAAATGACTGGTATGCAGTAGTAACGCAGGGCAGGGACGCTACCGCTGCTGTTGCTGCTGCTGCTGCTGTGTGTGCATATCTACAGTGCCTTCCAAAAGCATTCATAATATTTAGCCTTTTTTTTTTTTTTCGGTTACATTTTGTCACATTACATCGGCAAACATTGAGCTTTTTACCAGGAATTTATGTGACAGACCAACACAGTGCGTAATTGTGTTCTAATTTTTCTTTTCGTAAATAAAACAAACAGAAAAAAAAAAAAAAACACCCTATCTCTACTGGTTTTGGACATCCAGAACTTGAAATATTTGACCATTTTTCTTACCCAAATTGTTTAAACTCGGTCAGATAGGATGGATGGCATCTGGAAGCAGCTGCTTTCAAGTCTTTTCATAGATGGACTTCACCATTCCAACACATTCCTCATATGGTTTTGACATGAGTAATTATTTTTGTCTACCTAAGCAATGGATCACTGTAGATCCTCCAGAGTCATCTTGGCTACTTCTCTGGTTAATGAAGGTAAGTTTGCAGTTGTGTCATCGTTTCTAATTCCAGATGATATAATCATTGGTTGGACTGTTATTTTATTTATGGGTTTCAGATTAAACGGGATTAAAAACATATCCATGCCACACTTATCAGAATGGTATTTGCAAAACAACTGAAAATGATTAATCTTTTTTTTTTTTTTGCCTGTTTTTTTTTTTTGTTGTCATTTGAAAATTATGCCCTGCTACTTTATGTACCTCATGACTAGGCCTGTAACAATAACAAATTTTGCTGGACCATAAATTGTCCCAGTAATTATTAGTAATTAATAAACTAAATTAAATTTTAGCTATCCAAAATAAAACACGTCAACCAAAACAGCAATAAATGAAACGACAGACAACCAAAACCATAAAAAACAAGATGAATCACAAAATCGCCCTTCACAAATATTAATCATCGAGCTTGTTTTAATTTAGTCTTAGTCACGATGAAATAAAATACAAAGTAAACTAAATCAAAATGCGCCGGATAGCATGGAAAGTTACATCTGCCTCCAGAAAAATCAAAATCCAAGTTGAAAATATGTCCGAGAGCACATTTTGTGTTTGTTTGTGTGAAATCTCAGACTATCTTTTTGCGATTGTTGTCCAAGACTCGAAACTTCCAAGAAAGGTCATGACCCGACCCGGCGGGACGTTCAGGGTCTAAACTGACACGGAAATTGTTGCCTGTAGCAGCGACAGACACTAATTACTGGGGGAAATGACTAAAGAGCAACATCTACTTCTCTTTTCAAACCCAGCAAGTTTCAAAAGGATCCTGCGGTCAGGCTGGCAGTTAAAATCTCCAGCTTATGAGAGTGAGATTTTTCAGCAGTGAGTCTTCCCGGGTCTACGCTCCGACTTCCTTGTGACCTCTGGAGTTCTAGTAAAGTTTTCATATGGTTATTTAGAAAGACCCGGAAAACCGCAGCCGCCTACTTAACGCCACGCCCATGACATTCACCAGTGACAGACTGCAGCTGAGTTCTGACACACACATCAATTGGAGCTGAACATAAACAAATATAATAAAGAAATCTGTTTAACTATTTAAGAACACATGTTTCTTTTTTTCTTTTTTTTTTTGTGATAGCCAAATTGCCAAATATATCAACGTTTTGATGACTAACAGACAGGGATGGGAAAACATTTCCAGAGATTACAAAGGGAATTCTCACACTGCAGAAACGTGAAATCTTACTAATCGTTTTTTGTCTAGTTTCTAGAGCAAATATCTTTGTACACTTGAATTAAGAGAAACTTACAAGTAACTTTTCAGCGAGATACAGGAGGTTGTTTTAAGTAAAAACTCCTTTATATTGATTCTATAAAAGCAGATTATTTCACTTACAAGATATTTTTCCCATAAGTCAAATGGAACTAGTACTTTAAAAATATAGATATTAAGGAATTATTTACTTAAATCAAGCTCCTATATCTTGCTGAAAAGTTATTTGTAAGTTAGTCGTTTCTTATTTCAAATGTAATAGAAACTAGACAAAAAAACACTTGGGAAGGTTTTGTGTTTTTGCAGATGCCTACAGGGGCAAAATCTTCACCATCTATAAATTAACATTGCAAAGTTTGTCAAATGTAAAACACAATTGTGTTTAATCGTCTCTGTTGACAACAGTAAAAATAAAGCACATAAATAAAACCCAGAATCATAGCTCCTGAATCTGACTTTCCTTTTTCCGTCCTTGTTCTCCTAGCAGACGGTTTCTGCGCTGATGATGTGGCTTTGTTTAGCTCTGCTTCTTCAAAGCTGCTTGCAACCGGTACTTCGTCTGAAACAAGTTCCTTGCGTTTCCACAGAAAGGGAGCACTGAGCCTGGGAAACTGGTTCCAGTTGGGAACAAAATTCCTACTGAAGCCTGGAAGCCAGAGTTTCTTGACGTCAAAGCAACCCGACGTGGTTGCCACCGCTTTAAAGCGTTAGGATCTCGAGCTAAGACTTACCTCAATTATGAAAAATATAATAACTTAATAACTTACTATGTCAAACACCTTACATTTAACTTGCCTTATAGTGACGCAAGCGAAACAAAATGTCGGTTAAAGTTTTACAGCTGTTTTACGCGACTTCCCTGCGTTTTACAACAAGGTGACCAAACTTAAATCTCGTCATAAAGTCATCTTCAAAGCTGCGGCTACAGGCATGTCTCTTTCATGACAAGAATGTTGTGATTTTAATTCCGTAAACAAAGGACAGCGGGCGACTTTCATTCTTTCCACAAGGATTAGAAAGGAAAGCAAAAATGTTGCTCTGTCCAAACTCTAATTCACACAGGAACACAAGCAATGACTAATAAGTGACGAAAAATCCCTACATCAAAATGAAAGCTTGGAAAAACAAACCAATGTAAAAGTGGTCAGTGTGGACGAATACAATTCCAGAGCTGCTAGTGAAATTTCGGATGCATTCAGGGTCTTAAGAGGAATGCAGAGGTCCAGTGGAGGAAGATGAACACACCGGTTATCAGATGGGAACTTAAACTACAGAACTTTGTTTTCTCTGCAAGTCCTGTGGGGCCGTTTGGAGATTTAGCCAAAGCAAACTCCTGAAACAAGAAGAAAGCAGAATCTCGCTAAGCTCTCGTTCTTTATTTTCTCACAAGCCTAACAACTCGTGTGAAAGAGTGTTGTGGGTAGAGCTGGATAAAATGAAATTCATCACCTTATTTTGCTCATTTAAAACCCCCGAAAAGATTTGAAATGATGTTTACTCAGCCACGGATTGAAACGCCGATCGGGGTGTTTGACCGCTGAATGGGACCTGCCAAGTTTTAACCTCTGAAGTGATTGCAAGCAAGAGTTTACAGGAAGACGAATGAATGTGGAAATATCAGTCGTGGGTTATGGCCTTCTCACTGCACTGATCCATCCCTGAAGGGAGATTGCTGTGAAACTGAGACACGTGGTTTTTCAACACACTTCCAGTAAAATGTTTTCCCCTCCAGACAAAAAAAAAAAAAAAGGGATTGCCCAGTTCCCGGATATTCGGCTCCGTTTGTCCGCATTGTATGTTTTTGTCTATTTGGGGCAAAGTTTGTCCAAAACTCATGTGATGCCCTCCATTTCTCCACAGAGTGTTAAGTTGCAATCATTAAGTTAAAGTAAGGCAAAAATTATTTCTGATTGAAATACAGTTACTACAATCAGATTTTCAAAATTCATATCAGCAAATGTGCAGGGTGGAACCAATGTTTAATTTTTATTTTTTTTCACAGATCTCCAAAAATTAAGGAAATCAGAGCCGATTTATCAGTGCTCCCCTAGTAGCGAGTAGATATTTACTGATTAGTAACACAGATGTAATTCTTGATGTTTATTTGTGATAAGCTCCGGGTAAATAACTTTCTGTTTTAGCTGAAGTGGTAGTTATATTTGCAATATTTTCAGTTAATGCAGAGTCTGGTTATTTTTCTTCTCTCATGCATCAATGGCAGCTCAATGGAAATAAACACTGTTCATCCTTCAGAGTGAATAAGCGTGGATTTATGGCACCTGCTAAGATGACTGACTCCTAAAAAGGAAACTGCTTCCTGCTAATCAAGCTGACTCTTAGCATACAGAACGACGATAAGGACTCACCAAAACCTGAATGAGCAGCAGAGTTAGATGCCACTATGACTTTTTTTTTTTTTTTAAATGCAACGCGGTGCATGCGCTGCGATATATCTTCGCTGTTTTCCGACCCGTGTGCCACATACTTTCCAGAGAAACTGCATTTATGTGTGGCACATGTGACTGATGACTGATAAAAAAAAAAAACACTCACTGCTCCAGCAGCTGGTCGTATCTCGCCTGAGCGTCCTTCTCGGCGGCGGCGGCTCGGTCTTTCTCCAGGACTGCATTGTCTCTGGCTTCGCGCAAATTCCTGCAAACGGAAACCAACGCGCTGTTAAAGACAGGAAGCCCTCACGCGACATCCGAGCACTCAAGATTCCCAAGAAGTAATTAAGTACAATTTAATGTTTCAGCAAACAGCGTTGCAGTTAATGAAGGTAAATATGTAAGCACTCGAGAATGAGGAAGCTCAGCTTAAGAAGTAAAGCCGTCACTCAGTCACAGGGCCAATTATGCCAGTACGACAGGCAATTACAATAAGAATCAAGCTAGGAATCGAAATACATGTTATCAAGATGACAGTATTTAATATTTAGTATTAAATATTTCAGATTTCAGACCTGTTCTCCCTCTCGTACAGTTCTCTGGAGCTTCTCTGCAGGTTCTCGATCTCCTGACTGGTTTTCAGTCTGATGTTCTCCAACTCCTCTCTGAGCTTGCTCTCGTACTCTGACTTATAGTAGTCCCTGCGGTGGACAAATAAGGAGAATATAAGAATAAAAGCACTAATTCTTTTGGTTAAAGGTTCTCTTCCAGATAACCAGAGCGAGAGGAAAATGTTGAAGTGTTTTAAGTAAAGTTTCGCAGCAGAACGAAGTGGAGCATGAGCTTTCTGTGACTGATGTGGATCTCACCTGGATGCTACATATTTTTCATACGTGTTCTCCCTGGCTTTCTTCGTGTCTTCCAGTTGTACCTGCAGGACAAAAACAGGAAGTAGGAGCAAGTCATGTGACCGCCTCCCGCTCCCGAATGCTTTGTTTACAGGACGAAGCCTCTCGGACCTGCAGTCTGTCTACGCGATCTTCTTGGTGTGCACAGCGGATGCTGAGCTCCATGTTTTGCCTGTTCAGGTACTCCTTGTCCTTCTGCAGGAGAGTCACTGACTGCTGCAATGTCGCCACCTGGTGGGCAGTGAGGTTAAAGGAGAAGGAGTCAATGAGCGGACCAAACGTTCAGTTGTTATGTTAAGTTGGGGATTCTAACTAACATTTCTTTTCATTTTTAAAACTCATTGAGATTTTGACAATCTCAATGAGTTTCAGAAAGAAAAACGATCCAAGCTAGACAAATATTTTACAACTAAGGTTTCCATGGGCACAATTTCAACCCCCTTTTTCCCCCACTGCCTGAAATCAAATTTGATTAAACACGTTTTAGCTCAATTAGGATTTCTTTTTTTTCAAATGTGCTAAGAGATGTTTTCACACTTTCTTCAAACTCAGACATGTACACACATACTAAAAATCGAACGACATTTAAACCATATAGACTGGGTTTGCGTGAAGCACCTCGTTGCTCAGCGTGTCCCGTTCTCTGGTCAGCGCCGCGTGAGACAAGTCCACCGTCTCAAACTTCCTCTTCAGCTCCTTCAGCTCCGTTTCAAAGTCATCGCGCTCCCTGTGTCGTTACAGCGGAACACAACACACGCAGCTTCATGTGCGACTTCCAAATGCAGGTTTTCAACATCATGCAAAACATTATTGATGGAAGGATGTTATTAGCAGTTGCATTTAGAAAAGCTACATCTGAAACAAGCTTTCGGATTATGAACGAGTTATTTTCATAAAGTATTACATGTGTAAATACTTTTGTGAAAGTTCTCTACTGCGTTAGAATTTTTTTTTTTAAAGAAATATAAAAAGAACTAATAAGTGCTTCTTAAATGAAAGCACTTAATAAACATTATTCATACTCATTCCAAATTTTAAAAAAAATAAAGAAAATAAGGTATTATATGTATTCAAGTGGTACTTTTATGGCTTTTTGTATAATACAACCTTTATTGAAGATATGCAAAAGTAGCAACAAATTTAAAGACGTATGTAGCCTGTATTTTCTATTTGAATGGCTCATAAACTTCATCCCTCAAAAGTTTAAATCTTTAAACCAGTAAAATGTGTCTTTATGAAATATAAGAAAAGATGTTAACAGCATGCAGCTTTTTAATACATTTTTTTTTACTAATACTGAACAGCTTAAACCTCTTTTCAAATGTTTTTCAGTATTTTTGCTCTAAAAAAAAGCTAAGAGATATAGGTGTGGAGAAAACACCTCACACACACACACACACACACACACACGCACGCACGCACACACACACACACACACACACGCACACACACACACACACACACACACACACACACCCTCACCGCTTGATATTTGGGTAGTTCTCTCTGCGATAGTCGCCCTGCTGGATGTTCTGTTTGGTGTCGGCCAGCTCTAAGGTCAGCCTCTGGCTCCTCAGCTCCAGCTCAGAGCGCAGCCGCCGCTCTTCCTCGTAGCTCTGAGGGATGTTGCCGAATACGGGCCAAATGTTGAAAATGTTTCACAGAGATGCTCATTTGATGTCAGTGCCACAAAACCAACCAAACAAACAAACAAAAAATAAAGAAGTCGGCAAACATCTGAAGATTCTTAAAGTGGGGGAAAAAAAATTGTTGTAGCAGAATTGTGCTCCCTGTATTAAGCAACAAAAGAAATATTAAGAAGCATCAAATATATGGATGTTTTTATAGAAGCTTTCTGTTTGGATGTAGAGGGGGTTTTTTTGTATTGAAGATGTCTTCAACTCTAAGGCATTTAAGCGACTCTGAGTCGATGCGAACGAAGTTGAACCACATTGTTATCTTGTCGTCGCTATTCGTGCCTGCAGGGTTACAGCTCGTTACTTTGGCTTCTCCCAGGAATATGTCCACTATATGTCCCATAAGATCATTTCAAAAAGATTAAGAATGGTGAGGGATATTTCTCTCATGTACCTCCATCAAAAGCTTCATCTTGTTTCTGTGGACGTCCAGCTCCTCGGCCAGGTAGCTCCTCTGCTCACCGAGCTGAGCCAGTTGAGAGCGGAGAGGAGTCACAGCCTCATAGAAACGCATCTGAACGCACGAGACAAAGAGAAGAGTCGCCATGTTGCGCGTTTTCAGTCTTTTGAAAAGAGGGGCTCAGCTATCAGCAGGGGAAACGTCGACGCGGGGACGCTCCCTCGTACTTACGGCTAGGTATTCCTGAATGCTGATTCTGTCGTCGGGCACGCCCCGGAGCTCCTGGTAGCGGTCCCGGGGAATGTCCAGATCTCGGAGAGACCGCCGCAGTTCTCCGGCCTTCTCACACAGCTGGCGGTTCGTCTCCTCCAGCTGCCGCTGCCTCAGCAGGATGGTCTCCATCTCCTGCTTGCGTAGAGCCTGCTGCTTCCTGGTGAACACGGCGTTTGTTAGTTAGCGCAGATAACTCTGGCGTTAAGCTTGCTCAACACTTCCTTCCAACAACTTTTTTTTTTTTTTTTTTTGGGCACGTAAAAAGTAAAAAACCATCAAACAAGAAAAACAACAACAAAAAATCCAATGTATTTCAAACCATTTTTCACTTTTGCAAAGAACCAATAGAATAATTGTCAGCCTATTTGCTCACACCTATTTTTTGTCCATTAGGAATATATTCCCTAAAAGAAAAAAGACATAGCATCAGTAAGACAAAGGTGTATCATCTATAACTACTACTGCTTCTTACTTGTTTTCTTCTTGTGCGAGCTTGAGCTGGCTGTCCAGTTTAAGCGACAACACTTGTTTTTGATGTATGGCGTCATTTAGCTTTTCCTCCAGTTCCTCGACCTGCAACATAAATTTGATCAACACACGCATGTACAGAAGCGTTTGAGGAGTGTACAGAAAGATTAACGCAGGGAGACAAATGTAAGTCAGGTCGAGCTCCAGTGAGCTAGTCTAGTCCCTAATGGTGATGTGATGCAAAAAAATAAAATAAAATAAAAACCTTACAGAAATGTTCTACAGACATTAAACAAAATGTCGGCAAGCATTTCTGACAGTCGAAATGACCCCACCTCGCTTTCAGCTCCTACTTCTTCATCAGCAGAAATGCGCTGCAGATGCTCTGTTTGATGGACAATCAATATTTTTTTATTGCCTGGTTATAAACAGAAAAGTAATCAAATAGTAATTTAATTTTAAATCAGCCAAACTAACATGGAAGTTTGTTTATGCTGTTGTTGGCTAAGCGGCCTTGGATTACAGGCCTATAAGTTTAACATAAATAAAGAGACTGATTGATGGATTGAAATGGGCGCACTCCTTTAAAGGAGCCCTTATTAACGGCTTTAAGCCTTGTGTGATGTCATCAGAAGCATGTATGTGCGAAAGCTTGGTTTTTGAAAAGTGGATGTTTACAGGGAAGCAGCAAAATAAATAGACCATCACTTTTTGTTCTTTAACGCAATAAAAGTGCGTTTATTTGATTTTATAGAGCAGCCTGACTAGTAGCTTTAAAATACAAATATGAAGAAAGCACTGAGGTGAGTCCACCTCTACTCTCTCCCGGCTCTCTGTCCAGGTACCTTTGACATGTGGTCAGCCTTCATGTTGTCTATGATGAGGTTCTTTTGAGAAAGTTCTATTTTCAGCAGCTGGAGGGTGTGCAGCAGCTCCTTCCTCTCGATCAGCTGACGGGTCACCTTCTGGGAGCCGTTGCGTTGCTCGTCGGACGAAGACACATCCTCGGTGGTAGGCACCGTTGTCTCCAGGCTGAGGTCCTCGGACTCCAGGTCCAGTGAGCTGGAGACGTTGGCTGCGGTCGGCTTCAGCTGCTGCTTCTTAGGAGGCATAGTCCCCACTTCGCAGTTGCTGTTCTTCGCTTCTTAGCTAGTTAGCGTCCAAAATACTGAGACTGTTAGACGACGAACTAAGCGTTCAGTTTCATCTCAAGAATTAATTCTTAAACGTTAGTTTGAAGCAAAAATAATCCCATTACTGTATTGTTTTGGCTAAGTATCTTTTGAACTAATCACATATTTATTTCTGTCTGACTATTCATAGCTGAAATACCTTCAAAAAGTCTGGCAAACTGTTAATAATTTCAAGAGTCCCGCTCCGTGGCGCTTGCTAACCGCCAGCTGTTGTTTGACTGTTGTTTCACTGTTAGCGACAGCGCCCTCTATCGTAAACAAACTGACTACGGCGCTTTGTAGAAACGACACGTTAGCTTGTCCGCCATATTGTGAGTGTCAAGCTCACCTTGGAAAGCGAACTTCAGAAATAGGATTTCCATTTTTTTAAAATGAAAGTGACACTAATTTAGATTAGTTGTTAAGCAGTAATATTGGAAAATCAGTTTAAAATGGGGCAATACCCTAATGCTTAAAAACTGACTTCTATTTTCCAACATTAGCCATGTAGTGAAACTGATCTAAAATTGAATATTAATTTGAACTGAAGTGTATTTATTTTGGCTGTATTTATGTTTTTGTTTATTTATTGAGGGGTTTTTTTTCTTGCTTTTGGGGGGTGGGGGGTTAAATTTGACAGGGGAATTTTCAACATTTTAATCATTTTATTTTCAAAATGATACATAAATAGATAAGTGTTTGCTGTTGCTGTTCGTGCATTTGTTTAATTGCCATTAAATATAAAACACTGGAACTTAGAGAAGTACAACAACAGACCTACAGTCCATCCATTTTCTGTACACCCTTGTCCCTAATGGGGTCGGGAGAGATCTACAGTTTGACCTAAAAATCTTGTATTAGTGCTTGTTTTGTGCGTGTTTCAATAAAATGCCCCCACAGTATGGCGAAGTATTGCGGTGCAGTACAAACCTCCTAACGCTGGGGTGTGCTATAAAATAAATTTCTTCGTCATTCAGCTTCTCTTCTGTCTTCCTTCGCTTTGTTTTTATTGAGAAATTAAATGAACAACCAAAACTAGTCATGCGATTTATTTTTTACTTTTAGTCCATCTAATAAAACTATTACCTTTTTAGATACAAATCCATTGTACTTAGATTGCTTCAAGACAGAGATGATATATGTAAGCTTTATAGCAGCCAAAGCAGAAACCCCATAGCTCCTCTAACTCTTGGAAAGTTTTTTTCCGTCCCACGAGTGGCTACACATGGTTAGTGAGACTGCCTGGCAACTTCAGATGGTGGGATAAAATCACCAGAAATTAGACGCGGTGGCCTTATATCTTCATCATGTTGAAGTCTAAGACCTTCGTAAAGAAGACCCGATCGGGTGGGGTGTTGAAGGTCGTACGTGAGCATTACCTGAGAGATGATATTTGGTGTGGAAGTGAAGTCTGTACTGAGTGCAAACAGGACTCCACGGTGCTGCAGAGAGACGCGTGTATTGAGAGCAGTCTTTGTCCCTACCCTCACTATCTGGTTCCTGACACCAACGTAGTGCTGCATCAGGTAACAACCCAGAGTAGCTACTTTTCGAGATTTCCAAACGTGGCCACATAAACGTTCCTCTCATTCTAATTTTTTATGTTTACGTTCTTTTTACTTCAGATTGACGTATTGGAAGATCCGGTGATTCGCAACGTGATAATCCTTCAGACTGTTCTTCAGGAGGTTCGTCATCGCAGTGCACCGGTTTATAAACGCCTGAAGGATATCATACATGAACAAGGAAGACACTTCTACACATTCACCAACGAACACCACAGGTACCGGGGAGGGGAAACCACAAGATCATATAAATAAATGCACACTGACAATATTTAGAAACGCACTGTTTTTATTTTTGCTGCAAGTCTGTACATAATTATGGGGTTCGATTATTGCCATAAAATTTTTGTGGCCACGGTAAGTCTGCAAAGGTCGTGAACTTATTAATATACATTTTTACATTATTTTTTCAACAGTTGTATCTCATAAGTGTTAAGTAGATATTTCCTCAAATGTTTACTCTGAGCCAGCTCAGTGGCAGTGCACAGCAACACATAACTCAGTACTTCATACAGCTAGAGAATGCTCCGGTCACTCAGGTTACCTACTAGGAAATGGTTGGTAATGGTTGGTATAACAGGTGGCTTTAAGAGAATTTAAAGCTCTTGTAGAGACTTGTGTTACTTAATAGTATCCATGCTAAGCTGAACCTTGTGTTTGAACTCTGTTGACTCTCATATGTTTAATATCTAATGCATGTTTAGATGTTAACCCTCCACTGCAAAGTACTTTGGTAGTGTTTACTCCCGACTCCATCTTCTTGCAGAGAGACATTCATTGAACGTGAACCAGGGGAGAGCGCCAATGACCAAAATGATCGGGCGATCCGTGTGGCCGTCAAATGGTATAGCCAGCATCTGAAAACGCCAGAGTCGGGCCCAGATGGTCTCAAGGTGGTCCTCCTCACCAACGATCAAGGCAACAAGCTAAAGGCTGAGGAGACCGGCGTGGTGGTGTACAAATGTAAAGTGTATTCATCTCCCGTCCTCACGACAGTCTTGAAGATGAAGCATGTTTGTGCATGTCGCTACAATATTCTTCTTGTCTTTTTACATTCTAGTTGATGAATACATCAAGAGCCTGATAGGGAACCCTGAGTTGGTGGATTGCTTGGCTTTGTCCAACGATGATAAGGTGGGCACAACTGTGTAGCTATTCACAGAAATAAATCTGGTTTCATACTGAAAGCATTATTTTCATCTTTCCCCTACTTCGCTTCCTGTTCTCCGTCAGAATGAGATCACCAGCAGTAAAGTGTTGTTTCCGGAGCATCTTCCTTTGTCAAAGGTCCAGGCGGGAATCAAGTCTGGCTCATTTCTCCAGGGAACCTTCAGGGCCAGCAGGGACAACTATCTGGAGGCCACAGTTTTTGTCCAAGGAGAGGGGGAGGACAGCACAGAGGTGGGCACGGACTTGTCTTAGGAAATGTCCTGGAGTCCTGCTAATTTACTAACAAGACTCCAGAGATTAAAGATTTTTGCGTAAAGAATTAGTTTATTGGCAGTCAAAGAAGAGTCTTAAGCTCTACTTTAAAGAATAAAAAGCTCTGTTTTGCTCTTTTCCTTGCCTCCAGGTTCTTATCCAGGGTCTTCAGAACCTCAACAGAGCGGTGCACCAGGATGTGGTTGCTGTGCAGCTGTTGCCAAAGAATCAGTGGGTGGCGCCGTCGTCAGTCGTGCTGCAGGACGACGGTGCGGCGAAGGACGATAACGTCGATGAGGACGAGGAGGAAAAAGTGGTGAATTTAGTTTTGTTTTTGTTTTTTTTGTTTTTTACCAAGGGCCTTTCCGACATCTGTTTTTTCTTTTTCTTTTCTTTTTTTATTTGGAAAGGCAGAATTCCATCACATTCATAATTAACTGCAGTCATTCAAGGACAACAAAAAAACTTAACAAAACTAGGAAGCGCATCACATAAAAACAAAAAGAGTTAGATCCACAAAGTCTCCAAAACAAAAAGTACATCTTTTGTGGAGGAATATTAATCCTGACTCTATCTGGGAGCTAAAACGTAAAAAGGGAATAACATTCCATCTGTGAATGTCTGGCTTTATTTTTGAATTTAGTGGGCCGTAATTGATGTCACAGTTTTGGAGAGAAGTGAGACTGTGACATCAACTATTTGATAGACTCAACATCCCAATTTCAGTTGTGCATGATCTTAATTGAAGATGGAGGGGGTGTTGTAGTTAAATGTTAATCCTTGAGTTTTGTTGATATTAATTTCAAAACCAGAGACTAAACCAAACTCATCTAGCAATTGGATCAGTTTTGGGAGTGCCTGTGAGGGTTGTGCTATACTTATCAATAAATCGTCAGGCTCAGTTTCTCCGCATGTCATAATTACCCCTTTTATATTTGACGCACAACAGCGTTGTCTTGTTCCTCATTCCAGTATGAATGAATTGGTTAAGTTTCCATTTATTTTAATTCTAGCCGTTTGTTTATTGAATAGCGCTGCAAATGTTTTGGCTCCTCTCTTCTGCCTTCTCAACTTGCCCTTCCACGTCTTCCGTTCTGGTATTCACTTTCACAGTTTCTTCTTTCATTGCTTCTAATTGTTACTTAATATCTTGGCGAAACCCTCACAATTCTCGCAGAATCAGTTCCGAGTCTGTCATTTATCGACACTGCGTCTCCTTGTTTGTTAGCTCGAACCCGTTAGCTGAGTCGTTGCTGCGTCCCGTAGTTACACTGAATTTTGTGATCACCGTATATTTTGACCGCAGGAGGCGCTGTTGCAATTTTATACCATACTTTGCCATACCTCGGCCTAACGCAAAAGGAAAAATAACAAAAAAGCCGAGCAAAGAATAAAAAGATATTACCGCTAATATTGTGACTATTATGGAAGTATCTATGGTGACAAAATACGATAGCTCTTATCACATACCGTGTATATTTGCTTAATTGTTACAATAGTAGTGGTAAGATGTTACTAAATGGCAAAGTACGGTTAAAACTGCAACAGCGCCGCCTGCAGTCACCGAATTTAGTATAACACCGGAAGTCCCCAAGAACATTGTTTTTAACAAATCCTCTTCTTCCCGTCTCTGTCCAGCTGACGGGAGCGTTAACTGAGACGGCCAGGAGGGCAACGGGAAAAGTAGTGGGAATCATCAAAAGGAACTGGAGGCCATTCTGTGGAATGCTGAATGTCTCCCAAATCAAAGAAGTATGTTTACCATTTTTCCTGTCCACGTCTTAAAATATGAAGGTTGTAATTGCACAGGATTTCTACACAGTTTGGAAACTACTGGAAAAGTCTGAATTTTGATTTAAATATTTCAAAGGTTTGGAGATAGAGCAAAAAATAAATATATGAAAAAATGTTGGATTTACAATTTTTTTTTTTTAATAAATTTTATTATTCAGAGAAAAGTTTGCATCTATATTTGGCTTGAAAATACTGACTACCATGGATATTAGAGTTTGAACGAGCTTAAAATTTAAATATGGGAACTTAAGTATGAAAGCATGAAACTTTATGCACCCTTCCCCCAAAGATGCTTTACTTTTTATCTGTCCGACCTTCAGGCGCTGTATATGTCTTACCATTATTTAATTTTTATCCCCCGCCAGTCCACCCGCCATCTTTTCACCCCAGCAGATCGCCGTATCCCACGCATTCGCATTGAAACACGACAAGCCTCCACTCTTGCAGGTCAGAGGATTATGGTGGCCATTGATGGCTGGCCCAAAGACTCTAGATACCCAAATGTAAGTCCCATCACATTCATTTACCACAGCCCACAAAGAGCTGTAATTGACTCCCGTTAATTATTTGTGTGTTAGGGTCATTTTGTCC